TGCCCCGTTTGCAGGAGTGTGTGTGCGTGTGTACGACGTTGCGTCCTATATGCACATTTATTAATACATGGAATATTAAAAAGATAATAAAAAAGATGGTGAGGCTCTAGGGAGCCGAAGCTCCCCAGAATAGGAGTATAATCTAAAAAATAGGTCGCAGTGGTGGACGGGCAGTGGCGTTCCCGGCGATGGGGAGAAGTGCTTTCATACTCTAAGGGACAGAGATCGAAAGTTCAGTTAGGGTGGGGTGGTCCAAGTTTGAACCAGAGGCAGGGTTATTGCGTCATAGTAGCGCAATTGTTCTTTAACCTACTTTTAACAAAAACCATTATTTGATATATTATTAACCATTATTTGATATACGACAGAGGGAGGAAGGGAGGTGTTTTAGTACTCCTAGTGCATTTTCTATGGAAAGCAAGGAAAAGGCGAACACTTAGATCAGCGACAACAGCGGGTTATCCATTAGGTGTCTGTACAAAAATTTGCTGATGGACGGTGCCGTTTGTGTGTTTTTCGGGAATTGCGATTATTATGAAAAGGCAGTGGACTAATTTCTTATGTTAACACTAGTAGACTACATAGGAACATTTGTTCGGAGTGTTGGCATATTTCCAGTGGACAATTTCCTGTATCCTTTACGCGTGGCTCTCGTGTACGGGCACTTGAATTTTTGGCGGGGAAAATTACTCATTTATTGAACAGCTGGGTCATTTTCAAATAAAAACGACCGCTAAACGGGAATTGTTTATTTCTTTTTATACAAAATTTACAATGATTTTCGTTCTGAGTGTCGCGGTGTTTCCAGTTGGCAATTTCCTAAATTCTTAAAAATGCTAAATTTCACTCGAAAGGCCTTTTATCTGTACAAATTGGAACAAAAAGCGTCGTCTCCTTCTTAGTTTCATGTTTAATTCCGTAAATTGTTCTGCAAAAAAAAAAAAAATGTGGAGTGAGCTTTAAGCATCAGAAAAATGGCCGCTAAGCTTATTTGTGGCTGCATCCAGCGGTTGTGGTTACAGGAAAGTGATATTGACATGTATCGTTTCGACGTGGTGACCGGTAGCACTTGCTGGAGCTTGAAAGTGGAAACTCAAGCAGCGAGAAGAATGTGGCTGCGTGCTTTGAAATTCCATATGGTTTGTTGTATTTCTCTGCTAAAACCATTCGTAATAATTGATAAATTTCTAGGCCTAAATTTACTTGGCTTTTTTTTGGAGTGTTGGAAATTATCTTGCTCCTCTCTCTGTTTCTTCCTGCCTTTAAAATAGGAAGAGCAGCACGGGCCGTAGAAGCCCTGTGAGGATCATATCAATACAAACTGTTTGAACAGCCCGTCTGGAGGACTGAAAACACCGACCAATATAATCAGAGACGAAATAGGAAGGACAGGACGGGCCATAGAGGGCCTATGAGGATCATATCAATAAAAACTATGAACAGCCCATCTAGAGGACTGCAAAACACCGGCCAATACAATCAGAGGCAAATAGGAGGGGTAGAACGGGCCGTAGAGGCCTTGTAAGGATCATATCAATACAAACTATGATGAACAGCCCGTCTAGAGGACTGCAAACACCGGCCAATGCAATCAGGGGGCGAAATAGGAAGGGTACGAGCCGTAGAGGCCCTGTCAGGATCATATCAATAAAAACTATGAACAGCCCGTCCGGAGGGTTACTGTGAACAGGCACAGCATGGGATGCCATTGTTATGCAAATTGCTAAACAGGAATTTGCAAGTGAAAAAATTATGGGACTCATAAAATTACTGGTTGGACTGGTAGTGCTGCTTAGACTTGAGTTGTCCGACTGGGCATTTTTTTTTTGTTTTGCGAATTCCAATTTCGGGGTTTTTTAAACACACTTTTAAAACGGCACGAAATGAAGCAAAAAATATGAGAGGAAAGTACTGCGGTCGAAATACCACGTGTAATGTAGAAACTGGCAGTGTTGTGGCATTTGTACATTGATGCGCAGATGTATAAGGGCAGTTGGAATTAGTGCATATGAAGAAGCAAACAGTGCTTTTTTGGTGCATGATTTGAAGATTCAAGGGCAGTTAAAACTAATTAAAGGATAAAGAGAAAATGATGAAGTAGGGAAAATAAAAAAGGAAAGAAAAACAAAAAGGGAAATGGAAGTATGGAAATATTTGTAATAGATAAGAAATTTTTCGGTCCGTTAAGTCGTATACATTTCTTACCGTTACAACAGTTGTACCTCGTCAGTACAACGATTGTGGTAACAAAATAATTTATATGGTTTAGCGTAGCATACAAATTTTTAAGATAAAAACAGAGACAAGAAAGAGAAGAAATGGAAGAAAGGGAAAAGTTATAAAATTATAATTATAAAATTAATTGTAATGTATTATGAATTTAATTATAATCATAAGATTATAAAATTAAAGTTATAAAGAAGGGGAAAAGTTAATTTATAATATTTGCGAAGAAAAAAACGGGCAGTACTGATATACTAGTTACATGCGCAGATAATCGTAAAATTTTTTCATGTATAATGCTCACGAAAATCCAACTGTTCGCCAGAAACGAAAGTATCATTTTTCGAGTGTTTTTCGAGATTTCTGTACATTTGTTTTTTTTAGACTAGTTACAATGGCCTTTCGGTACTTCATCGAGGAATTTGTGTTGGAAAATCGGCAACATACGACGCGGAAGAGCGCTACAGTAATGAGGTACATGAGTTCTATGTTATACACAAAGCATTCATTTTGCTTTAGGGGTTTGATGTACATAAAATTATACGAAGTGGATTTATACTGCTTCAGAAGTTGTAAATATCTTACATCAGTTTGCTTAAAAATAATCTTCAGGTCGAAAAATTCAACAATCCGAAGGCGTGTAATTCGTCGGGCGACGCAGACTTCGAGCAGTCATCATTTTCGGTTATTTTTTCTTCGATTTGAAAAATTTAAAAGGGTAATTTACAAAGAACATTTGAATGTTTTCGCTTACTTCACGAATAGATAGAAGGGAATGGGAAGATTCGAGTTTAATATTTCATGTGAAATAAACTAATGCAAGGTGGGGGG